GTTGTGTTTGGGGCTCAAGTTGTGCCAAGATGCTAGAAAGCGCCATATTTGGAGCCATCTACAATGGAGCTTTGTTTCTCGTGTTGGGTCAAAGTATGCCATTGTGGTGTCTTGTGAGAGGGCCTCTTTAATTGACTGAAAAAGCCTTTGACAATCATTGGTCCAGTTGAAAGTAACATTCTTCTAGTGAGCAACCGAACGGGGTTGTAAGAGCAGAGTTAGTTGCGAATAAATGAGCACTGAAATTAGCCATTCCCAAGAAGGATCGAACTTCAGCGCAGATGCGGGTGGTTGGCATCATGTAGAGCCTGTACTTTGTCAGGTGATGGTGGCATTCCTGCTGATGAGAAAGTCATTCCAAAAAACTTGATTTCTGTGTTGGTTAAAACTGCACTTTGACATGCCAAGTGTTAGACCGCATGTCATCAAGGCGCTGTAATACTTGCATAAGTTGCTCGATCATGTTCTTTCTGAGATTTTCCAAACACGATAATGTCATCATAGATGTTTTCAACATGTTCAATATCCACCAGCGTTTGACGAATTTCTCATTGAAAATCTCAGCAGCTGAATTGGTGCCAAAATTTAACCTTTTGAAACGCCTCAGGCCTTGATGGGTGTAGAACGTTGTCATGTATCTGCTTTCTGGGCTCAGCTCGAACTGCATTGTAGCCTTGACGCATGTCTAGTTTTGTAAAGCTTGGCTCTATTTAATTTGTATCGCAGTTCTTCCAATGTGGGGATGACATGACGTGTGCGCCGGATGGCAGTGTTAGCTGTGGTCATATCAAGGCTCATTCGCAACTGGGATGGATCAGCTTTTGGTGTCAACACGACATTTGAAACCCACTCTGTTGGTCCATACACTGGCTCGATGATGTCTGCATCTTCCAATTCTTTGAGAATGGCTTCAAATTGCTCCCTCTTTGCAAATGGTATTCGGCGCTGTGGTTGAATTTTTGGAGGTACTGACTTGTCCACGGACAACTTCACAACTCTGTATCGATGTTTGCCAATACCTTCAAACACCCCAGGGTACTGATCAACGATGGCCTTAACTCTGTCTGTTGCATCTTGCTTATGTTTGTAGATATTGTCCAGCCGCTGTTCGGAAGACTTCTTAGAGGTGAGATGCTCTGCGATAGCTGAATATGACATGTGTTGAGTGACGTGAGTGGTGGCCTTGGCACTCTTGTTTCCCTGTTTTCTTTCCTGCAGCACATGGTGCATGTCTTGCATGTCTGCGGTTAACTCTTTCACAGTGATGCTAAGCAGACTCAAATCAAAAGCAGTGTACTTTCCAATGAGGGGTTTTTGTCCTGATCCTGGAACAACATACACGGTTGCAATGGCCTGCTTTCCATTGGCTGTTAGCTGTGTCTGGAAGGATCCTTTTACCGGAATGGGTGGAGAGTTGTACGGCTTGAGCTTGACTTGTGTTCTTCTAAGTTTTGGTTTAGGGTGCAGCTGGTGGTAGAGGCTTTCATCAATGATATTTGCATCTGCACCTGTATCAATTTGCATTCTCAATTTTGTGCCCCCATCAAACTTCACCTGCACCATGGTATCCGGATATCGTTTCTTGCTCTGGATAGCATGAACTGGTGTAGTGACTGCATCCTGCTTGAGAACAGTTGGTCCTTCCACAAAATTGTTGTAGATATAACTGTCTTGCTCTGGATTTTCATCAAATTTTTCTTCTGTGTCAACCGTTTTGACTGGCTTTGTTGATTTTCTTGACTCACAAACACTAGCAAAATGATTTTTCTTATTGCAACTCTTACAGGTTGCACCCATGGCCTTGCATTTCCCTTTGTGTGGTGTTCGCTCTCCACAATAGCGGCAGATCTCAATGGTTTTCCCTTTAGACTTGTATAGATGTTCTGCCTTAGGGTGCTTTCCTTGTACAGCATAGACAGGTGTTGGTGAGGCTGTAGCCTCTATATTGTGTTGCTTCATGAAGGCAATTTCTCTATTGGTAAGCTCAATAGAGCGAGCAGTAGCTAGGACCTTCTTTAAGTCCATATCTTGAGCAATTATCTCCCTTTGTAATTTTTCGGAGTGAGTGTGCAGTGTCATCACCAGTGTGATTGCAGAATTTAAATCCATCTCATTAAATTCACAATCAGCACCTTTGATCCTTAAGCGAGTCGCCCAGTGATCATGAGATTCCTCTGGGGAGGTGGGCTTGGTGCAGAAAAATTTGTAGCGCTCCGCAGCTAAATTTTTTTTCGCAGTGAAATGTGCAGTGAGAGCAGCTGTGGCGGTTGAATATTTTGCATCCGCAACTGTCAATGTTGCAAAAAGCTCCCGTAATTCAGAGCCACCAACAGCAAGCAATGCAGCCCTTCTCTTTGAAGGCCCCTCTGCAGCGTCAGTGATGCCCTCAAAATCCATCACCAGTTCTAGGTTTTCTAACCAGAGTTTCCATCGGCGTTCTTGATTGCTACCAGCATCTTGTTGCACATCTGGATTAAACTCCGTTACGCACGCTTTAAGACCCACTAGTGCAGAAGCCATGCTTGTAAGAAATTTTTTTATGAAAAAAAAATTTATAAAAATAAAAAAAAAACAGAATAGTGGTATATTACGGCGTTTGGGTGTGGTCCGTAGAATATACCAAAAACTTTGAAGGCACTAGTGCCGTGGTCCGCAAAATACACCTTGTCTATGCGGAATAAGCCTCGTGTGGGCAGACGTCAGGCCTAACTCAAAATGAAAAGCAAAATTAAGTCACTTTCCTGCTTGCTGCATTCATGACTCTGTCACTGCAGAAGAGCCAACTTGTACTTGATGTTTATAAACACTTTCCATTCTCGTCGCCATATGAAGAGTCCTCAATTATACAAAGAGTAATCACTCATATAAAACGTGCTTCTGTCACTTAGGTGTTACATCATAATAACCTCATAATTAAACAGCCTCGTTTAGAACATTACACTTTACTTATAAAGTTTTGCATTCTATAATTTTCCTACTTTTCATGAAGGCTGGAAAATTTTGTTACCTCTTATTTCATAAAAATTCATATTCATATTCAAGAATTTTTAAGACCTTTGAGGTAATGACACGATTTAAAAATAAACTAAGATCTCACCTTTTGAGCTTACAGAATTAGCTAAGCACAAATCCATAGAAGATCAGGCAATGTATATTTTTAATCTCTTGGTTACCTTAGCAAAAACTTTTCTTTTAACTGAATGGGTATCATGTATAAATAAGATTAAATGAATGGTATTTCAAACAGCTGATCATCAATTCTTCTTTATTTGGGATTTCTTATCACATCTCAAAAGCAATTATCATGAACAGCCTTTCCACTTGCCGTAGCTGCTTGTCAATTCTTCATTGTTTCATATTTATTATCACATCTCAAAAGCAATTATCATGAACAGCCTTTTCATTTTTGCTAGCAGCTTGTCAATTCTTCATCATTTTAGATTTCTTATCACATCTCAAAAGCAACTATCCTGAACAGCCTTTCCATTTGTCCTAGAGGGGAAGTTGTTTGTATGTCCAAAAACAGTTGTATACATCTGAACCCACAATTAGATGGAACAATTTGTTAAACTACCATAGCACTACGTATTTAATTCTCTTAAGCACCAGCTGTGCAGACTCTTGTTCATATCTATTTGAATTATAACAAGATTAAATGATTTCCAACTCTGACTGTAACGCTATACAGCATTATGAACTTAGTTAATTTTAAAATTTCTATTTTTGTAGAATACTGAGCTGATTGAGCGTCTTCAAGAGCACTTTGAATCATTGCCAAGTGGAAAAGACAACCAAGAACCTGGTGATGCAGACAACGAAATTCAAAATCTTGCCCAACCAGGCTCTACTTCTTCGCCTTCACAGAAATCGAAAATTGAAAAAGAAAAGGTAGTTAAAAAACAAAATGCTTCTGGAAAGCATGCAGTTAAGGAAAAGGCAAATAAGAAAAAGAAACGGAAAGGAAAAAATGAGCATGAAAGTGACAGTGACAATGCTTTGACCGACGGTATTTCAGATGAGAAACATAAACAGTACATCAAGGCAAAAAGTGCCTCAAACAGTAGTCAAGAGTCTGCTAGTCGAATACAGTCGGTTGGCAGTGACAGTGTTTTCATTCCGGGGAAAATTGCGGTGGTAAGACCTGCTTTCGAATATATTTTCGAACTGTTTAATCTACAACGCTAATTAAAAGTACCTCTCCCTCTGAGGGTGTAGCTGCAATGGCGTGGTTTTAATGTGCTTATTTCTTCTGCATTCGTGTTTTTCCTCAAGTGTTCAACTAGTTTTCAAAATTTGTTAAATGCCATGAATTAACTGGTTAGTTATTGGCACTTTTCCGTTTTCGACTGCCTATGCATGCAAAAATATAATTTTATTATACAGGAATTGCAACTTTTCATCAGTTTTATCTATCTTTGAATAAAAATTTTTCATTTCCAATCCTTTTACTAGATTTTGCGATGTGTACTAGATTTTAAATATCAATGGAATGTTCTTCTTAATTTCTTTAGGTTTTTGATACAGCGAAGTTCTTTGGTTGCTTGCCTGCTCAATTCAATGCCAAGGCTGTGAATTTTCCGGTTTTGAATTCTTACTTTTTCAGCTTTATTGCTTTGGTCAATTATTGATTCTTTTCACTCTATTTAGTCTGCTGATGACGTTGAAACAAACGTTGTAAGCCCTTCATTGTCTCAAAGACTGTCTTCGACGGAAGGTGCTAACAGTGAACTGAAAGTAGCAATGATCAGCCCCTTAGTCAGAGGCTCGCCTCGCTTAAATTCAACCTCTTCATTGGATCACGCTGGGCAGTCAAGGCTGTTGGTGTACAACAGCCCGAGTGTCGTCGTCGAAGACTGCCAAAGAAAGCTGGGTAAAAGGCAGCAGGACAGCTATTCTTTAGAAGGGTCAGCTAATATTGACAAGAATGACAGTGAATGCTGTTATGATTTAGATGACACCGTAAGCTACGATGAAGACCACGGGATATCTGATGCACCTGTTCGTAAAAGTCTTGGAAGAGAAATTGATGAAACTGTCAACGATTCAGGATGGTTATTGAGGGGTAGCTGTTTAGAGGCCAATTCGACTGTTAATTATTCCGACTGTGATCAGGATTCAGAGGCACACGATGGAAGTTATAAAGTAGTACAAGGCAGCAACCCAAACGAAACGTTTGATGTAAATCTGCAAGATAGTACACTCGAGCTTGAAGAATCAGGAAATCCAAATGACGAGGATATGCTAAGGGGAGAAGAATACATTAACGAGTGCTCTCAAGCGGTAAAAGGTGATGACGTTCTAAACAGACGGCAAACATACGTTGTTGAGAAGGCTTGTATCAAAGATAACTTGCAAAACATAGTGAAGGTTCAAGGGAACGATAGGAGAAGAACATTTCAGATCACAATGGTACAAAACAACACTGCTAAAAAAACATCACCAGTCCCATTCGTTAAAGAATGCTCACAAGAATCGTCTGATGACAATTCATTCGTTAGTTGCAAAAGCACAGAAAGTGAAGAAGCAGAGAGCTCCTCATTATTTGCTGGAGGCAGCGATGATTCTTTTGGAAATAGAGCGCCTGATACTGCTCAGTATACTGAAGCTGATGCGGAGATCGAGTATGGTGTAGTGCAGAGCACCACTGAAAACCCCGTCTTCAATAAGAATTGTGGAGGAAATAGAGACAGAAGAGGAACATATTTGATAAGAAGCTCAGAAGAAACGGGACAAGAAAACTCGCCTGAAATCAACCCAGCAACTGATTCAACTAAGGAGAGCCTCAAAGGTATGTTCTGCGCAATGTTTACACCTATATACATATATATATAATGTACAGATATATGTTTAAAGGTGAAATTCCAATGTTATTCTTTGATGGGGATATTTTCCATGTGGAATTTTTAGATCTTGTCAATTTGGTCACGCCATTAATACTTCGTAAATTCATGTATTTTCCATAAAATTTCACAAAGCCAGCCAAGAACCCAGAGTCGAGTACCGGTGCTTCATATTGTGTATTTTTGTAGTGCTATTCAAACAAATGCAATTCCTTCTTTTATTTCAATATGAAATTTCAGTTGAGAGGTCCCTTGTTAATCACTGTGTTTGTCATGGAACTGTCCGACAGTCACGTGGGTGGAGAAGACTTGTGTTAAAAAGAGGTTTACCCACAATACAGTTAACACAAACAAATTTACAAAAACTGGTTCTGAAGCCAGCCGAAAAGCCCGTACCAATTGGCTACAAAGACAACATGATTTGCGGTGAATGCGTAACTGAGAATGACTCAATAGCAGGCCAAGACAAGCCTATTGATCGGAACCCTGAAAGGCTAGCAGTAAAGAAAGTACTCGGACAAGGTTTGTGTTTTTGTACGAAAACATTATTTTATATTGCCTTATAATATAATGAAATATTTTATAATATTGCATGATATGCTATGTCATGATATATGATATATGATATACGATATATGATATAGGATATACGATATACGATATACGATATACGATATACGATATATGATATATGATATATGATATATGATATATGATATATGATATACGATATATGATATATGATATGATATGATATGATATGATATGATATGATATGATATGATATGATATGATATGATATGATATGATATGATATGATATGATATGATATGATATGATATGATATGATATGAAATGATATGATATGATATGATATGATATGATATGATATGATATGATATGATATGATATGATATGATATGATATGATATGATATGATATGATATGATATGATATGATATGATGAACACTCAAAACATGGTACTGGCCTGTAGGCTCTTTTTTAAAGAAATATCCTTCATCTGAAGTTTCCATTTTGAAGTAAAGTATCCCAAATCAGCAAATGTTATTACTTTGGTTCTATTTCACGCCACGTTTTTCGAATGATGCTTTTAACAATGATAAAAGGGATATTCAAGAGTTTTTGACGATCTGGTTATTCGTTGAAACAGTCTCAGCCAGAACATTTTAATTTATGCAGTGAAACTAAATGGCGTTGCAAACAGAGGCTTGAGTGTAAGCTCTACAACTATGAAACGAAAATGGAATGAAAATCATGTTTGTGAGTCATCACCAGCAACGAAGAAGTCAAAGAATAGCAAGACTGGTGCAGAAGGAGCCTCGTGTGGATTACCGGCAAGTCCCGAAGTTAGGAGAGCAAGAGGGGAGAAGTCTAGACTACCAAGGTAAGATAGTTTTTATATAAAGAAATGTTTATTTTTATTTGTTTTGGTACCATCTCCAAAAAAGCTTAACATACCTGATGTCTACAATTTTAAACAATACATCGTGAAAAGTACTGTTCGGGTCCAATACGCATAAACGTATTGGAAATTGGTCCCTGGCTTTTTTTTATAACTCTCTTATTTTTTTATGTTTTCACTCCTCACTCCGTGCTTCCTTGAATTGTACCTGTAAACATAGAATTCTGTGGCTTCTACACCAAACTGTTGCATTCGATTCCCCACGTTTTTATCTGAACAATATATCAAGAAGTCTTGATTACTTCTAAAGGATGGGGGAGGTACGTCTTGAGAATTGTCGCCAAAAACATTGATGGTTTGTAGATGAAATCAAGGGTCCGTGGGTAAATTGATAAACAGTTCTGTTAAATTCACATTGGTCCATCCAATGAGATCAAAATCAGTGAAAAGGAAGTGAACGCTAGCTGAATTCGTACGGAATTTGAATGCTGTAGTGAGCCTACTGATTAAGAATGCCATCATAAATACCAACTTTATAAGAAAGACGCAACGGATATGGCATAAGCATAGACTGAATAATTTTTTGAAAGCGGTTGTAGAAGGCAGAATGTCAAGAAATAACTCAAGGAAGAAGACAGAAAATGCTTGACACAAGGATCAAAAGTGTGTTGACTTAAAACCTGTAGCCTTACTAGTGATCCACCTAGAGAAAAAAGAAAAGTGGATGTGGATGAATGAATGTGAAGTGGTGAAGATCTGAAGCCTCTGCGATCCTTGCTTCATGCACAATTATGCTCAAGTTCTGTTTTTCTATTGACACCATGTGGACTCGAGATGGATTTTATTTGCAAAACGCCCTTGTCAGTTTGACAAAAATCATGCGAGGAATTTGTCATTTAAGACGCCCATATATCTATAATCACACTGAAACTGCCCCAACCTTTCTAAATTGCTGATGTAACAATACAATGCCTGTGTATTGTCTTGGTACACCAACGTCAGTTTTCAGTGCCTATTTCAGCCATCCCCCTACTCCCCTTTGAACTGTGTTGGTTTACTACAAAATGCGTAGGAGATTAGGAAGTACCTTTTTTCTGCGACTTCTTCGATATTTTTCTATACTATCAACATTGCTTTTGGGGGGAAGACGATGCAAAAGTAGAAGTATTCAGGAAAAGAATTGAAAAATACGGAAACACAGCGCAAATCGTTTTCAAGTGCGGTTGGCAGGCATTGTAGATAGATAACAAGTTGGACTCTAAGGGGGGGGGGGGGGTTTGATAAGAATGATGACGTTTTTCGTTAACAAAAGAGGGCTTTTCTAACTCGCCCAACGATGAACCTTGTCAGACTCTACCATGGTGCAGTACCATCATACCAATGGTGCAGTTTTGAAGAAATTATTTTGAAGTAGGAACCTCTATCAGAACTTTTGCAGCTGTTTAGCACCCTTCCAGGCGATATATAGCATGCATTTGTCAATGGATCTGATGTGATGTGGTGTAATCGTTGACGCCTGCTGAGGGTTCCTTATAACAAAGCCTCCTATTCTTCCTCGATACACCCTTTTTATAGGAACATGAGCCTCATTTGTCTTTTTATAAGAACATGAGCCTCAAAACTGATCAAAAATTAAGTGCAAATTGAGAAAAAGCTGATGCTAAGATATTGTGAGATATTTTCTCGTATCTAAATTCTTTTGATTCACACCCACGTAGCTAAAGAGCAAATTGAAAACAATCCAGCCTTAAAGTTTTGGAAGAAAGTATGTCATATATTGGCTTAGCCTACGAAATCATTCAATTTTCGTGCCTTGATCAAGCTACAGTTATCACCCCTACACTACACCCCCCCCCCCCCAGCGTGGATATACTTGGTTTTTCAATTTG